GGGTTGCGATCCGTTGCCGGACACGGAAAAAGACAAAAGACAAAAAAAAAAAAAGAAGTATTTCATTTTTGAGTAGGGTTTCCCCGCTATTCTTCTTATCAGAATTATCAGAGTTTTCCTAGTTCTTTCACTTTTCCCAGGAAAAATTTAGTGTATTTTTGCCATATTCCTCTCAAAAATCCTGCTGGTTTTTATAGTGGAAGTGGCTTTATAGATAAAATTTAAAAACTGTCACCTTTTCAAAACTTAATCTTACTTGACAAGGACAGGATATCTTCCTATTTACTTACATCTTTTTACAAACCTCATAGCATTTAAACTTTTCTTCATATAGATCTTGACTATTACTTATAATCTAGGTATTTTACCTGTTTGCTTGCTATTATGAATGGGTTGTTTCCTTTCATTAGTTTTTTAACTGGCTTTTGTCTGCATATGAAAAAACTACAAATTCTTGTGTATCAAGGCTAGGACCAGCCAACTTACTGAATCCTCTTACTATTTCTCAGTTTTGTGGTAGATTTGTTTCAGTTTTCGCAATATAAAATGTCATTTGAAAATAATTTTGCCCTCTCCTTTTTAACATGTATCTATCTTCTATCTTACTGGACTGGCAAATACTTCCTGAACAAAATTAAATTATAGTAAGAGTAGACAACCTTTTATCTTTCTTGACACTTTGTGGAAGCTTCCTGGGGATTACCATTAAGCATGGCCCTGGCTTTTGGTTTGAGAAACAGGAAGTTCTTGTCATCAGAGTGTTCATAATCCAAGTCCTGGCAGTTTCCAATTTACACAGGGAAACAAATCATCATGACATAAAAATGTTCACTAATCAAATGACCCACATTAAATATGTTCCACTCAAATATCCCTCCCTGTTTATCATCTATCTCTGCCCATTTTTAGGACTGTGTTACAACATGAAATGAAGCATGTCTTACAAGTGCAATCATAATTTCAACTGAAATTTATGCTAAAAAATTTGAAAATTCATTCTACATTCATTTAAAGCTCATATAGTTGCAATTATACTTAAGCCCCTGCCCCCGCTATTTACTATGAAATTGTGTTTCCCATTAAAAATGGATTCGGGGCTGGCCCGGTGGCACACTGCTACAGTGCGCCGCTTGGGAAG